AAAAAACAATATCAAAGTGAAATTACTATAAGAAAATAAACATTTAGTGTTAGTTAAAAATCAACACTCAATATTAAAAGCCGGTACTAATTAGTAAATAGTGTTAGATTTGCTATATCAATTTAAAATCATAAATGCTAATTGTTTAGCATTAATTTTTAAAGACTGATTGTAAAATCGATTAGTAACTTAGCACCAGTTGCATTTTTATTTTAACATTTATTTAATTTAACATTAGCTTAGTTGGCACTAAATAAAGTCTATTTTTAATATTAATTTAATTTATATTTGTTTGACCAATGCTAATGATAGTAATATAAAAAAAATTGTACAACATCATAATTTCCAACAAAATAAAATAGAAATGAAAAAAATAGAAAAAAAAATTGTAGTAAATCAAGGAGATTAGTGTAAATAAAAAAGATGAGTGTGAATAAATGATGTGAATGAAAGATAAGGATGTAGATTAAGAATATGTATATGGATGAAGGAGATGGATATGGATGGAGAAAATGAATGTGGGTAATTAAGATGAATATGAATGAAAGAGACAAGTATAAATAAGAAAGATAAATGTGAATGAAGGAAATGAGTGTAAACATACATGGAAAATGAGAGAGAATAATTGTAAGTTGGAAGATTTGTCGATTTTAAATTTGTACTATTAAGAATAATTTACAATTCTTATTCATTGTTATAAAGACATAATGTATAAACTAATGTCAACTTAGTCTATTGTTACTTAAATAAATATTAAAGATATATTATATTACATTCAACTTAATCAACAAAAAAGCTTACATGATATTATGCTACAAGTTTGGTATTTTGGTCTATATATTTATAATTGTTTTATTCTTTTTGATCCTCGATTATTTATAATTGTACTGATATATTATACTGTAATAAACAAACTGGTTCATTAGTGCAATAACTATGTAATGCAATGGATAACGATTTTTATTCGTTCTTATATTACAATTAGTTGGAAAACAATAATAATTGCATTTAATCAAATATTTTTCAACTTTGTCTTTTTATATACTAATTAAAACTATTGTCTTTTGTACAAAAGATCAAAGGTTACTGAAAGTTCATATAATAGGATAACTTATGCAAAATATATAATACAGATATACAATAATATTTAGCACATTTACTTGTTGTAAGATATTATATTGTTGTACAATAATATACTGGTTGATTTTGGGTATGATAAATATAATGTATTATTTTTGTGTTGATTATGTGATATTTCGTACATGTTTAATATGTAAGAAAAAACAAAAATAAACAAATTATTTTAAAAAATAACTATTTTAAGCTTCATTCATAACCAGAATCGAAGAATAAAAGATGTATTAGACTTCGATTCAAGTTACAACTGAAATCTAATACATTTTCTAATTTAAAATGTTATTTAATTTTAGAGGTATTAAACTTCAATTCTGAAAACAATTGAAACCTAATGCTTTAAAACTAAACAATTTTTTTAAATCAAAAAGATTTTAAGCTTTAGTTACTACGAGAATTGAAATCAAATTCACATTTTTTAACCAAAACATATGCTTTGATTTATATTCGAAAACTTTGATTTATATTCGAAAACAAAGTCACCATTTTTAACCTCATCTGAATATGCTTTAGTTCTATAACCAAAACACAATGTTTAAAATAACTAGTGTAAAAATCCTTTCCTACACTAAAATACATATTTTTATTTATAGAAAAAATTTAAAAATAATTAAAGCCCTCTTAGAGTTGGCTAAACCAACTCTATCAACAACTAAATTATTCAAAATTAATTCTACTTTTTTAACCTTTCTTAAGAAAAAAGAAACTAATCTTTTAGATTGTGTTAAAAATGGTTAAATAGACTAACAATTTAGTTATTGTTAATATTGGAAAGATAAATTATTCTTTTCTTATAGTGAATACGATGTTCTTAATGTTTATATCTATTATGGTTATGAAACACCAAAAGCTAAGGTCCTTCTAGATGAAAAAATGAACAAGTTTATTGCATGCATTCTTAGTTTAGGTGATATAAATTTTGTTTAGAAAAAGAAGTTAATGTTTATAGTGTTGAATGTGATCCCCAAAGGTGTAAAAATTGAAGAAAAGTCTTGATTATAATTTATAAGTATCAGTTTTCACAAGTCTATCCCTACATTAACAAAGTTTATAGAGTGCTAACTCTCCGTAGATGTTTTTATGTGTAATGTTTTTTTATGTGTAATGCATTTTGGGTTAACAGGCTGTCTATAGGTTTGAGTTGAAAATGACAAATAAATTGGTAATCATATTTAGGCTTATTTGAAGGGATTATTAACAAAGAAACATTTTGTTTATGTACATATTTCTTTGTGCACAAGTTGCTCTAGACAAGGTCTAATTCTTCTTATTGGTGCCAATCCAATGAATTTGAAGCAATGTTTGGTGTTCTGGTGGAAAGCTTCACTGGGGTGAAATTGTGTTCATCCTTAAATATTAATTTCATCTATTTTGGTCAAAGAAAAATATATAATATAAAAAAGACACTAAGGATATCCCAACCCTTAGGGATGTAATTAACTTGAAGATCTATTATATACTTAAAAGCAACATAATATTTATTTTTCTCAAATTTGATGGAAGAAAAGTTTATCCTAAATATATATCCACCACTCATCAGTTATAAAAATATGTTCTATAAATTTATTTTGTCTAATACATCTAAAGATCTAAAATATATGAATTTAGTATGATAATTATATTCCTTTTATAATATATGAATTCGTCATATAATTTTTCAAACAATATCTTGAAAATCCTCATTCAAACCAAGAGGATTATGGAGAGAACATATGTAGAGAATAAAAACAATCTTCAAGTTAATTTAGGAAGTTATTCAATTTCAACATATAGGAAGAATAGACATGGAAAATACTTATGGGAATGCGGTTCTATGGTTTAGAGTACACTACAAGAAATGTAATCCCTAACTGTCTAAGAATGATAATAAGTTTTAGGAATTATAAACTTCTAAACTATATAGATATTAAAAATTAACAAAAGAAGGAAAATAACGAAAATATACAATTGCTTTTTGTTTCAAAGTATTAAGATAATTCATTTATTAATATTATTGATGATATAAGCTACCTACCCAAAATCTCTAAAAAAAGTTAACCATATTCAATTGATTTGAATTGTGATTTTATGGAAGATGTAACTGACTAACACTTAGGTTGTTGGGTGAGAGAGTCAGATGCTTTAAATACTACTTTATATTTAGACTCATACATAATATACTTTATATATCCATATTAACCTCAAAATGAGTTAAACATGATGTCCTTTAGCATGAATTTATCTATTTTTTAAGATTTAAAAAGACTAATAACTCATGGGAAAGACCATCATATATTCAATTAAATATATTGGAATCATAATGTACTTGATATAAAACCAAAGTGAAACGAAATGATATTAAGCTCAACTTGAGTTAAAGGAAACGCCATTTTTTAGCTATTTTCTAAAGTTTATTTTCATGGGACTGACACTAACAATTGGCATCAACTAAAAAACCATACAAGTTTCCATCACATTTAAATTAATTTCCTAAATAAACTCATGAACCTTATTAGCATTGTAGGATCATCAATCTATAACATTATTTATTTTCTAATAATGAAGGAAATAATTTTTTTAATAAGAAGACTGGTACATATATTCTAAATGATATAAACATCAATTTGGATTATGTATTTTACTACTGCAACTTGAAGAGAACCAAAAGCAAGATCAAGATAGGGCTGACCCAGATACAGAAAATGAAGGTTAAGTAATGATTGAGACAATCAACAATACTGTGGACTGTTTAAGAGACCTGACAAAAGTATAGGTTTTAATATTTCTCAGGATGAATTTTTCACCATGATCACTAAGTGCATATATAAAATCTAGTTTCCAATGACTAGTTTTCCTCACTGCTTCACATATCTCTGATGTTCAGATCAGAAGTGTCAAAGACAGGTAGAACTAGTTACCCAACTTTGTCTCATGTTAGATCAAAATTTTATCATAATATTGCTCTTAAAAAGTTAGAAACAAAAGACAACTTAAAAAATATCATTTCCTATTATGTAAATGATGAAGATCAATTTCCTTTGACTGTCAAAATTGAGTTCCTATTATGTATATTTACTTCAGATCTCACTGTTTTTAGTATTTCTTGATATACGTTACATTAAAAATACATTGGTAAGTGTATTTATAATTTACTGGTATAAAAATATACTGAATGCTGAGAAAATGTTTCAAAACAAACACAGACTAGAATTCATATATTGTCGGAGAGATGAGATATATTGAGAATGCAAAAGATAACGATAAGCTTCCCAATTATTTAACTTCTTGTTCTTTTCTTGATTTTTGTCTGTGGGGTAAGGAGTAAGCACGAAAACAACTATCTCTATCTGAAAAATAGAATTTGTTTTAGTATGAAGAGAAAACACTAGGTTTTTCACTAGAGTTCATGTAAGGATGAAGATCGTAGGAAACCTGCTGGTTTCAAATGCAGATGCAGGAACTGCAGCACAAAGTAGCTCATTTATCAAGAAGAACATGGTTCTTTCTTGAAGATTTCACTGTTAAAAATATGACGAGAACTCACTAGGTTTGATGTGTTAATATTGATATATAAAACTATATGCACAGCTTTTCATCAAAGAAAAAAGATTTTCTTTTCTGCAAACCATAGTTCAAGTTCCGATAACAGATTCCCAGGTATCATATTATCAGATTTCATTCGTTTCAGATACATCAGTATCAGAAGAATGAAATTGAAACCACACAAACCAATTCAACTGAACATGTTGAATAAGTTCTTCCCTTGCCCCTCTTCCCCAACAGAAAAAAGAAAAAGAAAAAGGGGTAAATAAAAAGAATATAAAGCATTGAATCAGAAATATAGATGGTAAAGAAAGCGAAAGAGAAAAGAATTTGGGTTTAATTACCTGGTGTTTGAATACTCATAAAGTTTGCCCGTGCAGGAAAACACAATGACTCCAACTTCTGCATCACAAAGAATAGATAGCTCTCTAGTTTTCTTCATCAACCCATTTCTTCTCTTACAGAAAGTTACTTGCCGGTTCGTCGAATTTTCGATTCTTTGAATGGGAATCTTTCCTCTCCCCATCTACTAGGGTTCCTAGCTCCACCAAAATTTCTTATCTGCAAGTTAACGATATCTGAGATATCCAACTCTGATGCCCAAAGTCGTCTTTCACTGAAACAAATTTCAGTAAAACTCATCAAGACAGATAAGGAAAACTTGCATAAATATATAAACGGCAATGATAAATATAGCAAGCTCAGAAATAACAAAAGTAGAAACTTACTAGGAAATTATTCTTGTGAAAATAACGGTTAGGGAAGAGTTGAAGAAGAAGACGAAGACGAAAGGAAAAATAAATATATTAAAAATGCTTTTTCTATATATTTTTTTTCTTTATTAAGAAAAGACGGTGTTTTACTGCAAGCAGTCCTATCAACACTAGGATTTATCCTATTAGATGTACAATTTTGCGTTTGATTTTGAAAGAGTAAATATAAAAAATAAAATATTTTATATATATAGCATGGTAAATGATTATTACACTGTTAGCTAATTAAAAATTACTATCACGCCTCCAGGTTAAACTTTAAAATGATAAATAGGTGCATAAGCATAGAGATTTTTAAAACAATAAAAAATAATATAAAACTGTTAATCGTTACTTTCTTAAGCTACGTCAAATACTTAAATAAATTAATGAATTAAGTATTCTTAAAGTGTACTTTTATATTTTGAGTAAACAAAAAAAAAGTTTTATGTTTCTGGGCCGAAAAAAAGAGAGTATCCTAGTTAATTTTGATAAAAATTTCAAATGAAAGAGATTTATAAAAATATTTCAATTTATCGTAGTAATTTAACCATTTTTATAATTTTTCAAATATATTCTGATAATCTACTGGGAATTTTCATCAAAGTAATTATTATCTCGTTTAGATGTATATTAAAAAAAATCATCAATTTTTAATTTATTTAATAAATTTCTTTTTTGGAAATTATACAAAAATATTATTTAACTTATTTACTATGAACTAAATTATGAATATTTTCCCTTTTATATAACCATATTAAAAGAACGAAATTAACTAAGATTCATTTATTGTTAATCATTTTTACACCATCACGATACATACTAACATACAAAGTATTTTTTAAAATAATTATTTTAAAAATTGTATTTGTAATGATTTGTGATTCACTTATGATCTAAGCATATTTATATTAATATTTAAAAAAAAACTCTAAATAAATATTTTATTAAAAGAAAGAAAGTGAAGAATACAAACTGAGAAATAATATAATGAAGTCTACCAATTTCAGAATAAATTCTGCTCTAAATATCTTAAATAGAAAATATCAACTTCTTTTTGTTTATTAAAATTTATTTTCATTTACCAAACCAAATAAGAAAAAAATATTTTTATTTTTTTTAATTGTTAAATAATTTAATAATTAGTAATAAAACTAAGAAGTAATATTCGTACGCACATTAAATATATGTATGTGTGAAGTAATTTATGCCGTGAATATGCTACATCGGTATCCGTACGGATGATATGAATGTACGATGGTGGATATTCCCAAACCGTGGGCGGTTACTTTTAGTTATTCTGGTTTTCGGTTTTTGGTTTTGGCGTGGGAAGGAATTGGGAATGCTGTTCCTATTAATTTTTGGGTATACCAAAAAATGCTACAATTGTTTTTCATAATTCCGCGTTTCTATTTTTCTCATTATATTAATTTTTGGGTGTACCAGAATCTGCTATAATTGTTTTGCATAATTCTATGTTTCCAATTTTTCATTATTCACCAACTCTTAATGAACTTGATTTGGGTAGTACTAGCAAAAATAATGATTATGATGATCTTCATTTTTACTTAGGTTTTACCATGATTATATGAATATGTTTGATAAAATAATTAATTGCGAAGGTAATTAAAAGATGAAAAGCAGTGAGAATTGAAAAATTATCTCAAAGTCCAAAAAACTAATTGGACCTAGAAATGATGATAAAAAGAGTTTTTACATTTATTAATTTACTAATAATTTTTTTTATAAAAATAATTTTTTTATTGTTGACAAACTTTAGAATTTAAATTATCAATAAATATTTTTAAGGTGACTAATATGTTGACTAAATTTATCGATGACTCAATAAATTAGAATTTATATTATAATAAATATTTTTATTAGTAAATTAATTAGTTAAATGAATAATAAAATTTTTGTTAAGTTTAGGAAATTTTTGTATATTAAGAAGAGATGGATAAGAAGAAGACAACGAGAAGGAGAAAGAGAAATATAATGAAGAGAAAGAGGATAAGGAGGTGTGATAACAATGGTGTTGATGATGGTGTAGCGATAGCTAGTCGATGGTGGAAATGGGAGTTAGAAGAAAAGAAAGAAAAAAAAAGGAAAAAGAGGAGAAAAAGGAGGAAGGAGGGGAGAAGAGATGAGAGAAAATGAAGAAGAATACCAAATCATATCATTTATTGACATATTTTATTAATGGTTAAAATCCGTTCATAATTACTAACATATATTTACTAATAGATATTTATCGATGAATTTAAAGTCATTGATAAATTACTAACGTATTTCATAATTTGTTTACAAAATTTATCCATGATCATTTTAGTGGCGAAATTTAGAAAAATAGATTTAGAGATATATGATATGGAGTTAATTATATGTTGTGTTATAATAAAGTTATAATATTATATGTTTTGAATTATTTGTGATAATGAGCTTACTTTTAGATGGCAATCTCTTTAGCTAGGTCGGGTCAAAGCTAGAAGAGAAAATTATGGTAAAGGGTGAGTGTTTGCGGAAGTCTAGGCTCATCTTCCATAGAAAACTGCAACTCTTCTTCAATGTGTTTGGTCATGGCTTGGGGGCATGTCAACACTTCTCATCTGAGTTATGATATATATTAATTGTGCTCTTGTATTTTGAGGTGTATATGGATTATAAAAACACAAGTTATTGTGTTTTATATGTGTTGTGAGAAAGTCTAAATATTCACTTAGAAGTACGAAATTTAAGTTATGTATGATAAAGTTTGAATAATGATTTAGCAAGATAAAAATTCAAGTTATTTGGTCATTTGAAATATGCAACAAATAATGAATTTATGTATACATTCTTTATCTTATATCATTTGTACAGTCTCAAGGGGTCACGTAATACACATAACATTTTTAGTTGTCCAAAAACATAAACCTTTTGTTAAAAAAGAAAGGCCTTATATCTCAAGCCAACAAGGGGTGAATTAGATTAATCCTTTTAAAATGATCTTTTCAAAATCTTTGAGTTTTTTGCTTTCTTGAAATCAATGAACAAAAAGTAATGAATCAACAAGAGAGAAAGAGTATATAGAAGGGAATTCACTATAATTGATTGAGTTTATAGAAATACAGAGATACCCCTCTCAATGCACTCCTCTCACCACTCAATCAATATAGCTAGCAAACCAAGAGATGAAAAATCCTCAATCTCTTACAATACAAGAGCACTCACAACCCTTAACCCCTAGCAAACCCGCACAGGAACACAATACACAAATTGTCTATGAAGAACCTGATCTCTAAGATACACTTCTCTAGTGCAGATTGAATCAAAACAGTTTTAGCACAAAATCTTGATAGAATCTTGATGGGTAATCAACCAATGTAGCTCAGATTCTCCAAGAACGCTTCTTGAAAGCACCTATAATCACAACTCAATGAAAATGTTAATATTTGAAAAATGATAACTTTTTTTGAAATAGGTTTCAAGTCACATATATATAAGATTTTCAAATCCTGTTTCATTATAATCAATTATGTTAATTGCATAATTAATTATGTTTTTTCTCTGTTTTAACATTTATCCTATGTGTATAATCTATTATTTAAACACTTAAGCATATTATTGATTCATTGAACAATCTTAACATATTAGGCTATTTATATAATGGATTAGACTATTTCTCTGTTTTAATCGATTAACAAACTTATGTAATTGATTGTTTCTACACTTGTCTGTATTAGTCATCTTTAACAGATTATCTCACTTATATAACAAATTATGCATTTTCTCTGTTTTAATCGGTTATGTACCTTGTATAATAAATTACTATAGAGCAGTTTGCCCCTGTTAAGCTTTCTAAGTGATGTGGTNAAATAAATTAATGAATTAAGTATTCTTAAAGTGTACTTTTATATTTTGAGTAAACAAAAAAAAAGTTTTATGTTTCTGGGCCGAAAAAAAGAGAGTATCCTAGTTAATTTTGATAAAAATTTCAAATGAAAGAGATTTATAAAAATATTTCAATTTATCGTAGTAATTTAACCATTTTTATAATTTTTCAAATATATTCTGATAATCTACTGGGAATTTTCATCAAAGTAATTATTATCTCGTTTAGATGTATATTAAAAAAAATCATCAATTTTTAATTTATTTAATAAATTTCTTTTTTGGAAATTATACAAAAATATTATTTAACTTATTTACTATGAACTAAATTATGAATATTTTCCCTTTTATATAACCATATTAAAAGAACGAAATTAACTAAGATTCATTTATTGTTAATCATTTTTACACCATCACAATACATACTAACATACAAAGTATTTTTTAAAATAATTATTTTAAAAATTGTATTTGTAATGATTTGTGATTCACTTATGATCTAAGCATATTTATATTAATATTTAAAAAAAAACTCTAAATAAATATTTTATTAAAAGAAAGAAAGTGAAGAATACAAACTGAGAAATAATATAATGAAGTCTACCAATTTCAGAATAAATTCTGCTCTAAATATCTTAAATAGAAAATATCAACTTCTTTTTGTTTATTAAAATTTATTTTCATTTACCAAACCAAATAAGAAAAAAATATTTTTATTTTTTTTAATTGTTAAATAATTTAATAATTAGTAATAAAACTAAGAAGTAATATTCGTACGCACATTAAATATATGTATGTGTGAAGTAATTTATGCCGTGAATATGCTACATCGGTATCCGTACGGATGATATGAATGTACGATGGTGGATATTCCCAAACCATGGGCGGTTACTTTTAGTTATTCTGGTTTTCGGTTTTTGGTTTTGGCGTGGGAAGGAATTGGGAATGCTGTTCCTATTAATTTTTGGGTATACCAAAAAATGCTACAATTGTTTTTCATAATTCCGCGTTTCTATTTTTCTCATTATATTAATTTTTGGGTGTACCAGAATCTGCTATAATTGTTTTGCATAATTCTATGTTTCCAATTTTTCATTATTCACCAACTCTTAATGAACTTGATTTGGGTAGTACTAGCAAAAATAATGATTATGATGAT